CTCCGCGCCGCGGCTGCCATTAAACGGGAGTTTTTCCTCAGATGAAGTTATCCGCAAGCGACTTCTGATCGATGGCGATGGAGCTGGTGACGACAGGCGGATCAATTTGTTGGTGAAGAGTTTCATTAAGTGGTGTAATTCCGGATCTCAAGAGGAAGGGTATTTGTTTTCGTTGTTGGTTTTGGGGTTGGTTGGTTGTATTTTTTTTTTTGGGGGGGGGGGAGAGGGTTGGAACCGGTTAACTGGCGTCTCATTGGAAAACTGGGCTTGATCCGTTTTGAAAAGATCCGCGTTAAAACGTGTGCAGCTGCCTTTCAGGGCGGCTGTGCGGTGGGAGGTGAGGGCCGGAGGCGGGTCAGACGTGGCCGAAGGCTGCAAGCTCTGTCACGGTGCCCTCGGGATTGTCGTGCTGCTGCGGGATCCGTCCTGGAGTCCCGCTATTAGAATAGGGTCACGACTCGAATATTAATCTGGCAATTCTGCAGTTGTTCTCTTCTGGAAGGGTTGTGCTGCAGATATTCCTGAAAAAAAAAAACCAAACCCACAGAGTGAAGTAGTAAGGGATGAGCAGCAGCGTGGTGTTCTGCCGTGGGATGCTTACTAGCACTGGATGTCAGCTCCCAGAGAAGACAAGATAAGGACTGTGTGTCCAGAGCAGCACTGCAGCATTGAAATTCTCATCTCAGCAGTCAGAGCCAGCCCTGGCTGGGAAGTTTATAAACCCTGGATCAATCTGCTCATTGCTTTAGTACTCGCTTTACATCTGTCAGGACTCTTTAATAATTGTTATTTAATGGTTCCTTGTATTACACAAGGCTTTGTTTTCTTGCTTTGTAAAGGCAGAGGGTATTTTTATGGTGCTTAGGAATAAATATCTTGTGTGTTTTCAGTTACAGCCAGTACCAACGAATGCTGAGTACTTTATCACAGTGTGAATTTTCAATGGGAAAAACTCTTCTGGTGTATGATATGAACCTGAGAGAAATGGAAAATTATGAAAAAATCTACAAGGATATAGGTAAAGATGATAAAATATTACTCGTTTCAGTTTGACGATTTCTTTTTCATGAACAAGCTCAAGCCAGTTGTGATGGACATAATATATCACATGATTAGTGCTTTGTTGGTTTTTTTTTAATTTTTCTTAATAGATAGCACTCATACATATGCTGTAGGCATCAGTATATAAAATACATACCAAAAAAAAGCTTTTTTTAACCTATTAAAGCATATGTAGTTTTGAAGCTGAGGGAGCCAGCAGGCCACCAGATCACAAACAGCTCTTCATCTTTCTATAGTTTAGTAGAATGGTTTGTTTACATGTGTTGTTTCATTTCAATATAACTCATATATACTTTTTTTTTTCATTTTAAGAAAATAGTATAGCTGCTGCACATGAGAAGATTTCTGAATGCAAAAAACAAATCCTGCAAGCAAAAAGGATTCGAAAAAATCGCCAGGGTAAGGAGCAATGTCTGTATTTACACCAGTCAGGTTCACTATTTTGTTATCTTTTCAAATACATTGAATTGGAAAACAGGTGCCAAATTTTCGGAAGTGCAAGGGAATATACTGACATCAGGAATACTGTATTTAGTCTGATGTGTTCCACACCCCCTGCTGAAAGTTTTTGGTGGGTGAGGCAGGCAGGATTGAATCTGTAGACCTCAGTGACATGCAAACTCAGGGAAACCTAAAACAGCAGTTCAGAGAGATGTTTTCAAGCCAAAGAAAAATCCCAAAAGCATCTTGTTACAATTCAGGGGACTTAAGGACTGACTAAAGCACATTACTACAGTGAGACAAGAGTTGCATAGACTTAGACCCAGCACTGAGGGTCATGGGAGTGCATTTCTTCAGCTGCCAAGAGCAGGTAATGTCTTGGTGTACACAGAGACAGTGGTGCCAGTGACACACCCAGCAGCTCTGTATCCTTAATACCTGTTCTGAGAGGTGTATGTTTTGCCTACCCTTAAAAGTACATGCTGATAACTTCAGCTGAACCTTAAAGGCTTTCCCTGCAATAGTGTCTTATCAAAAGATTAGCATATGTACAATCTTACTGTCAGGAAATGGCTTGGTTGCCAATATAATCATAATATTGTTCTTAATGTGCAATACAGTTTAAAAAAAAACTCAAAACAACCTATCCAGAGGTCGTGTTTTTTGGCCTCATCCTTTATGTTATTTACATTATTTGAGATAATGGCCTACAATCATATCTGTAGTTTATTTAAAATATCTTTTGATGTACTTTACTTTGAAATGTTACAGTATAAATGATATACATTTTTATCTATGTATATTTGCAGGTATTTTTATATATGTGCTATGTACAAATTTGAAAAAAAAAGGGTTTTTCAAGAAGGAGAAAGCATCTGTACCATTCTGTGACACCTGATTTTTGGTTCTTGAATCTGTACCATCAGAATTATTTACACTATTTAAATTTCTTTCAGAATATGACGCTCTGGCCAAAGTCATACAACACCATCCAGACAGACATGAAACACTGAAGTAAGTCTGAGACCACATAAATTCATAAACCAGTAAGCTAGAAGTCACCAGCTTTGACATTTCCTTGGTTTCAGTTTGACCTTTTCTCACTTGCATATAATTGCTTTTGACATGAGAAAAACTTGGGTTTCGTTTTAAAATTATGCTCTTATCAGCTTGCTTTAATTAATCTGCATCTGTATAAGCTCAGAAGCATTGCTGATCATTTTATATTTGAAATTTTTCCATTATTAAGGTGAATGAGTAAACTCAGATTTAAACATGTCTAATGTCAGTTTACCAGGGCTATGAGTTACTCAGAAAAGAGAGATGAGCAGGGAGGAAGTAAAGTGGAGTGAGACAAAACAGGAGAAAGCTCTTAGTTTGTTTGGTTTGGGGTTTTTTTAGATGTGTTCCTTGTAGTTGTTCCTGCATGCCCAGTTATAAATTACTGTGTTGTGTGCCATGGTATAACCTGCCCTGGCACGCAGGTTGGACCTGCCTGTTGTCCAGCTCATCTGGCATGTAACTTACAGTGTTGCTTGTGTCATTGTGGGTTTTGGATCACTATCTGTGCTTTTAGGTCATTTGGGGCAGTTGTGGGGAGATTGTCTTTTTAACTTTATCAAGCCAAAGAAACAGTCCAGGACTTATTGCTTCTGTGAGTTTGTTCTTAACCTGATCAGAGATGCAGCATGGGGTTACTGTTCTCATTTGAATGCAGCTTCTGCTAAGTGGTAATACTTTTTTTCTTAGAGGATGTCAGGTTGTTTAAGTTTGGAAGGGTTGTTCTAATTTTGCTTAACACATCCAAGCATAAGTTTCTTAAACAAAGCTACAAATGATGGCAAGTTATAGCTAGTAAATTTGGCATTTTGTCTTTTCTTACACTCTCCTGAAGAGATTATAAAATAAATTAATTACAGTTAGAAATACCAATGTGTTCATCCACTGAAAGAGTGACTACAGTGTTTGCTCCTTAGTCCTTAATCCTTCAGACACAAACTTGAACTATAGCAGAGTGTGATCCCCCATTTTACATACTGGGAAATAGAACAAGGTAACAGAATGGAACATTTTTAAAGGGATCTTGCTTCATAGGTATTGAAGCTTTAACAAACCTATCCAAGTGAATGGACTTAAAATATAAGAACTAGATGAAGTTTTCATGCAGTGGTTTAATGACAAGGCTTCCTTTTTCTCCAGTTTGAGGAAAGTATACAGAAAATCATATTATGTGCCAAGAAGGACCACTCTTAAATCAGAATGGAGGAAGCCTCACTAACAATGTCACTTTCCATGGAATTTGTAATCACTAAAAACACTTGAGAAAACTTCTGGTGAGGAGAAATGTCCTGGTTTACTGCAAGAGTTACATTTATAGCTTTTGCAGGTCATATGGCACAATAGTACAAAGTTCAGAAAAATACTTTCTGTGTGCTTTTAAGGGACTGTTTCTTGGAACAACTAGTCATACAGCACAAAAGAGGAGAAGCTGTTATCAGCTTAGTCACCAGTAACACGCAGGAGCCAATTCAGGAAGTGAGAGGAGCTGAGCTACTAAATGGCAGTGCCCACAGCATAATTAGGTGCACTGTCAGAAGAGCTGTTAAAATGACTGAGAAATAACACTGAATCTTAAAAAGCAGATACAAAAATGAGAAAGCTAGGCAAAGATTCTCTGGAGCAGAAAGTAAAGGAAGTAAAATTCCAGATGTGGCTTGGATTTTTCCTAGGAAAAAAAACTGCCCATCTTCTCACAGTCTGCTTATACCTGACAGCACAGTGTGAACAGCAAGATTTGTCCAAGCAGAAATATTTCAGAAACTCAAAACCAGATAGTAGTGAAATCACTGTACGAGCCTATAAGCTCCTATAAAACTGCCCATTTCCATTAAAGGAAGGGACAGTGTCACACAAACACATCCCTCTTTCAGGCATTCCCTTCAAGGCACCAAGCATACTGGCTCAAAAAAAGACAACCACCTCAGGTAGCAGCAGTAAGCCAGACCTTTTCCCCAGCCATTGTGAACTACTTGGGACTGGAGGCTTTTTTGTGGTTGTCTGCCCAGACTAGTTCAGCAGCTCTCTCTGTTCCAGGAAAAAAAAAAAAAGGTTTTATACCCTCTCTGACCCCTGTATAACTCTGCCTGCTGATTAATCAGGGATGGTCAGCCACAGTCAACTTTACCTTTAAAGAAACAGATTGTTCTCCTTGCACAGAGCATAAATTATAGTGGGCATTAGAGGAAAAGTAGAAGGGCCAAACTGGAGGTTTGAGGTGAGTGTTGATGCTCCATCCTCATTTGAAAGCTAATGTACATTATGGTACCCCTCATTCTTTGCCTTACCTCAAAAAGGATTGTGGTGGTCTGTGGCAGTTCCAAGTGAGAACAGAAAACAGTCAGATGCTTGCAGAAGGATCCCAAAGAGGTCCTGAAAGATAGTGTTTTCCAAAAGCATGTGAACAATAATGATTAATGGTGCTGCATGTTTTATTTCTTAATGCCAGAGGCAATCACTTAAAACTGGCATTTGAGAAAGAAACAAGTATTTATATGGTTCAGTGTTAATTCTGTGTGCTGAGGCATAAACTACATGATGTATTTTCATCAAAAACATGCATTATTCTACATCTGCCAGCTGTAAAGTTTAAAGTTATCCAGTACTCACTCTGGGCAGGCCATTGTCAGAGATAAGGTATTTCAGTGTGTTTGGTCAGTTGTTGTGTCTGGGAATTGTGTTTGTATGTTGGGTGTGTAAGTTCATCAAATATACCTTTTCCTTGCTGATGCTGTGTTTTTATTTAATCTACTCCTGTCAACAGAAAGATGCCTGTGAAAATACCATGAGGGTTTAATGTGACCCACTTCTCTAGCTTCCATTATATGGTCAAGTAAATAACATGTTTGTGGCAGGACTGAATTGTTACAGCCCAGATTCCCAGTGTACAGCTGTATTCAAGCTCAGAGGCCTCACTTCCTGTAAAAGTCCTGGAATTACAAGTTTTTTGACATAATAATTTAATTTCTATCTCTGATTTCATTTGTTATGCTTTGTTTACCTATATGTTTATTTAATGGTCCTTTTTACTCTACTTCATTCAAGTCTATTTTAAAAGGTTCTGTAAAATTCTTGCAAAAATACTCAGACAATTTCTTTCCAGGCAGCTGGAAGCTTTGGGAAAAGAACTGCAACATCTTTCTCACATTAAAGAAAATGTTGAAGATAAGGTCGGTTTTCATCGTTATGTTATTAATTAGGAACATAATGGAGAATCTGCTGTGGGCTGTTTGGCTGTATGTGCTCTGTTTCCTAGAATACATATTTTATCATTCCAGTTGGAGCTGAGAAGAAAGCAGTTTCATGTTCTCCTGAGCACCATCCATGAACTTCAGCAAACCCTGGAAAGTAAGTGTTGTTCTTAGGTAATACATGTGACTAGGTTGGTTTTCAGTGGACCAGAAGGAGTCACAGCTTCCAGCACTGGGCTTCCTATGTGCAACTGAGGCTGGTGACCTCTTGCAGAGGGATTTTTTTTTTTTTCCCCCAATAGTTGTCCAGAGCCTGAGACTGCTCAAAATTTTTTCTTCTACCAGCTAACCACTGTGTCACTTCCTGACTAACTTTGATTAATCTGTAGGCAACAGACCCCTTTAAAATGAGGGGATGGAGGACAGCGATTTGAGGTTTTTTTCTTTCAAACAGAAAAAGTATTATTGTGCACAGCTTCCAAACTTACTGGAAACTTACAATTCCTGTTTCAGTAGTTTTGAGCCTGTCACTGCCATCATGACACCATGTGGACTTTACTGAAGCCAGACTGGAATACAGGAAGGCTGAGTGACTTACCTCCTCAGACAGCGAGCCCCTTAGCAAGAGAGCCAGGACTAAAGCTGTCATACACAAAAGCTAAATTCAGCATTTAGTCACACTCATCTTTTCTCATACAAATACTTCAATATTTTTGAAATCAGCGCTTGCTTTTCATGGTCCAATATAGAGAATATTGTTTTAAATATTTGCTGGATTTCTGCCATGTCTTTCCAAGATGAATAATTGGTGTAGCCTTTCAGCGTGACCTGATTGACATGCAGAGATGGCTGTCAGAGCAGACGTTCATTCTCTGAGGCTGGCTAGATCTTCTTAAGCAGAATGAACTGTTAATCCTAGCTACACTTCAGCAGAAGGTTATTGTTGTTATGTGTTACTAGCAATTGTTTAAGTATTAGTCTCTAAAATACATTTTCACATGAATGTATAGATTGCCTTTCAGCTTCTAGAACATCATGAAAGAAGTAGCAGTTTAGTGGAAGGCACAGCTTCAGTTTGAGATAAACCATTACTAGCAGAGTAGTCAACTACATATTTTAAGCAATCAATGTAAAATAATTTAAGTTAGACATAGCTCTGCAATATAGTCTGTAAATATAACCAAGCATATTTGACTAATAGTAGTAACATTGAATTTTAGATGATGAAAAACTTTCAGAAGCCGAAGAATCTCAAGAAACTCAGATGGAAACAGAGACCAAACAGTAGATGCAACATGAAGACTACTGACCATGCTATCAAAGAATATCCAAGTGTCTTCACTTTCTATTGAAGCCAACAGTAAGAGAGATGGAGCTGAAAAATAATTTTCTAATGCTTCTGTGAATTTTTATACAAAAATACTTGTTTTGCTTATGTTTCAGGAAAAACAGTTACAGATCTGTGCAGACAGGCACTTTGCATTAATCAACAGTCTTTGTAATTTGTGACAAGAAAGATGTTTTCTGTTACAAAGGAAGAAGCTTCTGCACAGTACTTGTGAACTAAGGTGTTTGCAAAACATGGTCAATAAAAGGTGTTTTACAAAGAGTTTCCTAGTTTTAGTAGGTATTTAGCCCAGCATGAGTCCCAGTTTCCATACTCTAGGTCCAGAGGGGACCTGAAACTGAACTAAGCAGGGTCTTCATTTTTCAGAGTAGCTGTCATTTTAGAATTTACCTGTGACTAGACTAGAATTTACTAATTTCATTTAAATCAAATTACTTTTATAGAATTAATGCTTGTCAAGGAGTGTAAACCAGCAAAAATCATACTCTACTGGTGTTATTTGTTTTCCTAAGGTCATGCAAAGAACTGCAGTGATCTTAGCCTCACTGTGCTGTGTTCTGCGCAACCACAGCAAAAATCACATTTTGAAATGCCATGTTTAAAACCAGTTTAAAAGCTTTGTTCTTGTAGAACCAGGAATTTAATCCTGATACCATTTGTAATCTGCTCCTGGATTTGTCTGTCAATTGACTATTAAAAATACATCATAGTTCCTGAAACAGATGGTGGAACACTCGTGTCTCATGATGACAAACCAAAGCAGTACAGCAGCTATCATGTTAAAGAATCTCAGATACTTTTATTATTAATAGGGAGGGTGGAATTTGTCCACCTGGATCATCTGAGCAGTCTGTTGGGAAGTAGGAAATATGGAACAAGGGCCACTGGTGGTCATGTTGCTACCTGTTAGCCATGTTCTAAACCACCTGCTGAATCAAACCTTCCGTGGTTTGGGTAATCAGACTGAGTCATAAGCATACATGGTTGAAGTAAAATAACACTGTTGTACAGAACAGAGCCTCCTCCTCAAACTAGGTGACAGCTGAGGGGGTTTCCAGGATTTTGACTTTGGACTTTGATAGTCTAAATGCCCACTAATTCCAGTCTGTATTCCACTCAGTGGCTGCAGATCTGTGTGTTGGGCTGAACAGACATATCTGAGCTTGTTTTGCTCACATTCCAGATTTGCTAATGAGAAGGCACACAATTTCAGTAGCACAGTGCAGTCCTGGACTAGTAAGCTGCCAAAAGTCTTCTAGTTCACAGCTGGTCAACTCAGAACAGAGGGGAAGCTCAGGTTTGCCTGGTACAGCCTGTGTAGACATGCAGTGCTTCTTGTGCACTGAAAGTTTTCGGACTTGGGGGAGAGGGAAAAAAAGGGATTTAACATAAAAAATACAATCAAAAAGTACTTACTGTTCTGTGTTTTTTCCCCTCCTACCAACAGTGAATAGTAAAATACTTTGTAAAGCAGCCATACTAAATTATTGCCATATCAGGGAGGAGTCACTTTCATGAATGTATGAAGATCATAAATGACAAAGTCTCAAGACACTTTTAAAGCATATTAATGTTTTTGCTGAATGAAATGATAGCTTCATGAGCTACCTGGATTGTATTTTGGTCCAGAGATGGATGACATTTACCAGCTAAAAGTGGTCACTGTTACAACACTGACATGAAAAACTTGAAAATTTCTGTTCTTTGTTTTACCCGGTACTTTAGAATTTTGCTTTGATCACTCAAGCATCTTATCTTAGAACCTGTGCTGCTCCACATAGAACCAGACCAGAAACATGCCAGTGTATGAGCCTGTCCCTCTGGTGGGGGTTTCCTATGCAGAAGCAAAACAGGTAGGAGAGAGAAGTAATATAAACACAGCAAAGTAAGGAGTGCATTCTAGTGTGAATTACAGAGATGCAGTCTTGAAAAGGAGTTACTGCCCCAGAGAACCAAGTTGCCCTAGCACAATGTGGCAGCAGGAGGGTGATGTCCCCATAGAGCCTTGGAGAGCAATCCAAAAAAGAAATTACATCAGTCCATTGCAAATGCAGACTCAGTGGGACATCCAAAATCTTCACTCATTTTTTTTTCAGTATTTATACCCCTAGCCCCTTGAGGTATTTGTATCATTTGTACCAAAAGAAAAACAGAACCAAATGGAACTCTTAATACCAGGCAACATTTAACCTGCTCAGTCATTAAGCCCCCAGTTCCAGGTTCAGATCTGCTCTGCATACATTGAAAATACGTATCTGCATCTCCCCGATTCTTCTGTTCAAGTTTTCTTTGTGTCCTATATCCAAGGCACAGATGATAGTCTCTCTTTCATCCCTGCCTAGAAATCTGCCCTGCTATGATGCTCCATATAAGACCCTGTATGTCTATGAACCCCAGATCTCAACAACCATGCTATTTAAATAAGAAATCTTTCCTCTTTGAATTTGCTTTGTCCCATAATGCCTATCCACCTTAATGCCATCACCATGTGGATGCAAAAACATAAGCAGAAAGATACTGAAGTGATAAGCTGATGTTTTCTGTGCCAGGACTTGTTTTTATGTCCTCTCCGAGCAAGAGAGCGATAGAGGGAGAGTAATTGGACAGAACTGGTAACTCAGGCAGAATTCAGAATTTTTGAAGAGATTTAGCAAGCTCCACAGAGGGATGGGGTAAGGAGGAGAAAGAAGGTCATGGTGACACAATACCAGGAGATGGATATCTCTAAAACCATGGTAATTTGAAGACAGCTGCTGCCAGCAAAGAAAATTGCAAAAAAAAATAGATGCCAGAGATTTAGGACATAGAAATTATAAATTATTTTAGATACTTCTGAGTCTTCCAACTATCACAGCTGACTTGTACCATCCTTTCCCCCACTTCTTTTCTTGCATCTCAGAAAGTTGTTATATATTTGTGAGTTTAAAAAAAGATGATTTAGAAATGAAGGCAAATACCATTAGTTTTGCTCTGGGAACCTTTGTTATTTTTGTTTTCTAGAATATGTGCATTAGGGAAATACTCTGCTAGTGTATAAACCACATTTTATATGTATACATTCACACATACACCAACACTATACCCCAAGGAGAGCAAGTTAGCAGTAGAGAAGCGCTCTACCTTTCATGCTTCATCCTAATTGTCAGAAGTGTTCATAGGTTACTTCTGCCTTCATTTCCCAGGTCTGTTTTAATAAACATTATTACCTGTGTTGCAGAAGTCCCTGGAAGCACCGCTCGTAGCAGGGCCTGCGTGTTGCTAAGCACTGTGCAAAGGCCCAACAAAAGGGCTGTTCCTGCCCCAAGGTACCAGGAGGCAAAGCCAGGCTTGGAGCAGAGTGGAGTGGGCACCATGGCCTGCCTGGAGGCACCCCCGTGTCCCCCTGCCCACTGGCAATGGGTGAGAAGCCAGCAGGAGCTGGCACAGTTTTGCTGCATGAGGCTGCTCAGCTACATGCCAAAGCTGCTCGTGGGATGGGACACCAGGGCTGGGACCCAGCGCATCCCTGCTGACAGGCTTTGGATCCCCGTGCCCAGGAGCTCCCCAGGTACTCGAGAGTAATCCTGAAGGCAGAGGCACGGCACGCTGTGGCCTCTGAGCAGGTGAGGGGGGTGCTGGAGGGCGGGCGGGGGCCTGACACCCGCGCAGGTGTCACAGGGGGGTGCTGTCACCGGTGCGCTCGAAATGGAGCAGACCTGCCCGCGGTGGCCAGCAGCTGCTGTCGGCCGAGGAACCCGCGAGGAAGGAACCCCGAAGGAAAGCCGTTGTCCCGCACCCGTTAGGTTGGCTTGGTGTAGGTTTTGCGTGGGGCCAGGCGTTTGGATGACGCGGCGTGCGGGTGGCGGTG